TCGATTTGCTAAGCGAGAAATGATGATTGTCAGATCCAGTGTTTGTATGTGACATGAAGCTTGCCAAGCCAATGATCCAGGAATTTATTTACATTTATATCTAGAAACACATGCCAAGATCTTAATCTATTTCAGAAATTCTCGATTCATTTGAATCCACTCCACAGGTCATGTGTTAAAGATATGTGTGACCTTTGAAAACATTTCTGAACTATTTTCTCCTTTGTTCAAAGTCAACGTCTCATTTGAAAGCAGAAGTAATTCTTTCTTCTGCATAATGCATACACAGCATTTTGTTATTATTCTGTAGTTTGTACACGTAACTATTGTTATATTATTAGACACAGGAGAGCTTCTACATTACTACTTAGACTTCTGCCATTTCTTTTGCCATCTTTTAGCTTTCTGGTTACTGGTAGTCTTATTCTTTTATTTTACTTTTTTCCATAGAATATGCTTTATATATGGAAGGATAGATACATAAAATTTATTATTTTTGTGGATGGGTGCACACAGATTTTATGAATTGTCTCACACAAACATTTGAGGGGAAGAAATAATTGGTGTCAACATATATATACCCAATAATTAGAAAATTAAAGATGTTGCACTGGTCGTTAACATTGGATGGGCTTAACAGAAATGCCTTGGTAGGGATAAACCAGAGAGAACTGACTTCACAACTCTGGTATCCAACACACACTAACACCATATGTTATATTTGACATATTGACATTAAATTATAATGCTGGTTAATTCTGGTTAATAGGTTAGAGAAAGGAAACAGGAAGGACGTATTACCGGACCTTAGATTGGCTGGGTTTACCGTAGAAAAAAAAAACATATAGTGATACTAGCCAAGATCACTATATCAGACATACAGGAATATGATCGAACTAGCCAAGTCAGGATTACAGACGTTAGGAGAGTCAATAAATAAGACCAAATCAAATAACCCCAAAATCTGAGAATCTATAACGAACTAAGAGGAAGCCACGACAGGGCAAAACTTTATACACTAAGGTAGGCAATGACTAGTCTACATCACCTCTGCGACCCTAAAAAGTGTGGGAACAGTGTCGCAGTGATGACGTGGCAACTCTAGAACCAGAAATGATGCTAGCCATATTATTAGTATAAGTAGAGGGGCACTGTGAGCATGCGGCATCCCTCTCCCTGCCAGAAGACCAACAGCATTCACCTCCCAGAATTCACGGCTTCCCAATCGACATGCAGCGCATGCAGGAATGCTGGTGCAGTGTGCCGATCGGGTAAGCACCGTGACACCTCTGTAACCAAGCCCAATTCTGCAGGCAATAAAGATTGTACCATAACTTACCTCTGCTGCAACCAACCCACATTTTGCAACATATTCTGCAGGCAATTAAGGTAACTTTAAACAAGATTGAAAATCCATATTGTGCAATTGTAGCTAATTATCCTACAACCAAGCCCATTTTTTTAAAATTTATCTTCATCCCTGGGGTCCAAGGCTACATTCAGATCAGCCCCCACCACTAAGACACACTCTGAAAATCCTGCAGAACTTCAAAGAGTGAAGCAGAAAACTATGGTGGTACCTATTACGCGGATAAGCAGATGCAAACGTGTTACTGACTGACGACAGTGCTTTTCACAAAAGCATAACGACCCTCGGGGTCAACTAGCTACATTATATTAAGAGAGAATGGGACATTTCTGGACCTCAGAGTGGACACCCCAGCTCTCTATCTAACTGAATCATGATTAGTAAAGGTACCAGAGGAGCAATGGAAATCTTGTAAGGTTGAATCACATTCATCTCTAAAATGGTTCTCCAGACACTAAGTGTGAGGCATTGCAGAGGGGAGGGGAAAAGCAAACAGACAAAATAAACCCTGGAGCAAAGAAAAGAGAGAAGACAAACAAAGAAGAAGGAAGATGAAAAAGAGAGAAGGAACTAGAAGCAAGAAAATTATCCGAACCAAAAAAAACAATGACACTTCAGAAAGAAAAATAGTAAATAAATAATAAAAAAGGAGAAAAATAAAGATGTATCACTCTCTCTACTTTTAGATTTCTTCCTTTCTCCTTCTCTTTTCCCTTTCTTGCTTTTTCACGCTCCCCTTTTCTTCTGTTTCTCCTTTCCTTTTGTGGTCATGTTCTGTTTCTGTTTTCATTCTTTTAACCAGTGTACTAACAGAGAAGACCTACTACTTTTAAAACGTTGCCTTCCATTTATGCCTTTGATAACGTTTGACTCACAGAACAAAGACTCATGACATGTTTCAGTAGAGCGGGTGTGCTCAAAAGGTAGATCCCCAGATGTCTTAAAACGACAACTTCCATGATCCTGTAGCGGTACTTACCCTTTCCAGGGGCCGGCCGGGGTCCTCTGTTCGAGCCGCGCGCGGTCCTGCTGCTGCACGAGCCGCGCGCGGCTCAGCCGACTGCTGTGACTAGTAGCGGTCACATGTTCCACCTACTCTAAGAGCGCGCCGCGGGTATCGGGCGCGCTCTTAAAGGGACAGTGGGTGCCTAAATTGGAAAAGGCATCCCATTGGTCCCTGTCATGCCACACTCCCCATACACTTACCTTTTGGGGGCGTGGATGTGACAGGGACCAATCAAAGTAGATGTTTAGGTATTTATACTCACCTTCTTTCCTTTGTTCCTTGCCCTATCGTGGTTTCTGTATCAGTTCCCTTTAGCGCTTGTTGTGTTCAGTTGTGTTTCTCCGTATTGACCTTGGCTTTGTTTCTGACTACGTTTTCTCTTTATCCTTATCTGTTCTGGTTGTCGGCTTGTTGTTTACTGTGTACCAGACCCCGGCTTGTCCTAGTTTACGCTGTCTCTCTGTGCCCTTGATTTCGGATTGTTCCTGACTCTGTCTCCTCTCATATACGTCGAGTCCGGCCATTCTAAGGTCCGGTAGACGTATCTCTCCTCTGTGTTGTCTTTTGTTTAGCTAAATCCTGCGTGTTGGGGTATATTCTCGTTACAGATCCTTTGTCATTCTTAAAGCACGCAAAGCATCATGGGAGTTGTAGTTCTACAACATTTGGGGATCTACCTTTTGGGCACTAGAGAGTATAATATTAATAATAATAATTTCAAAGTATTTAACCAGGAAAGGCTCCTTCGGAATATTGTGGTTTCCAAGCATGTCCTGTGGATGTTACTTTTGGCCAGCATCCAGGGGATGTTACTATTATCCAATTTAATGGTACTCATTTTATCTACCTTGGAAGGATGGATTGCTGAGTCAGCTCTGCCATGATTTGAACCAAGGGTTAAACAGACTCTACTGATGGTGCACTAGCCCACTGAGCTACCTCACCTAATACAGCCTGAGACAATGCATAGCATAGAGAACAAAAAAATAAATAAATAGTATTACCATGGTAAATGCACCACAGCCCATTCCTTAGAGATAATACAAAATTCCTATAATACAAAGATAAAACCACTAAACAGAAATATTAATATTGATATCAACACCTAGATATAATAACAGCCTGATATATATCTATCAGAAAGTACAATATGTATATTACAGTGGTTCCCAAACTGTGATCATATGAACATAGCACAGAGAAAATCATGCTGTGCCTCGCTCTCCCCTGCAGGACCAGAGTGGAGATCAGAGATGAAAGGGGATATCTTTTGCAGGTATATTGAGAGCGAGAACCCGAGTGCCAGAGACACCCAGATATCAATTCTCAAAAAAAAATGCCAAAGATTTACCCACATAAAGAGTAATAAGTCAGTTTAAGGGATTAGAAGTACAAATAACAATATATTTATTTCAATACTATATGTTAGACTATACACAAACGTAAGACTAAATAAGTGACATGTAGCCTGCCTAATGTAGCCAAAGAATTGCTACTGTAGAAACTTCCAAGTAGAGAACGGTTCACGTAACTAATTGGATACACATTATAAAGTATCTCTAGAAAAGTAGCTACTGGTATAAATATGTTCCAAACATTGCATATCAAGATCTTCCGGTCTCAATTCAAGCAACTAAAGTAGATATAAAGGTAGGAGCAGATAGCTATATCAAGGTAGACGGGTAGAATAAGGAAATTTTAACAAGTATAGTGACCCAAGGGGAGGAAATAAGGGTCAATAATATTTTCCCCTCCCTACCTAGGGACTTCAGGGTCCAGTACTCGGAAGCGGAGAATGTAAGAGTTAAGGGTTATGAAAGAACCCACCTTTTAAATAACTCTTCAATATCATTTAAAGTATATAGGCAGTATCTGGGAACTGTGCACGCATATAGCCTAAGTGGATGCTGCGAAAAAATTGTAATAATCGCCCCACCTGGATCAGAGCATACAGTTTCCCCAGTAAGATACTCAACACATATGCCTCCACATTCCACATTGACTAAGAGTGAGATTGCTAAATTGCCCCAATCTTAGAAATCTGTTTACTGAAGCATGTTCTGACTCTATCTTAATTCTGCCTATAACTAGCTGCATGGAGATAGGTCTAAAGAGAAAAAACATATGTATAATCAGACTAGATGAGAGATCTCCTCCCCGGCCCACTAGCAGAGTAATGCTAGCCAGCAGTGGTGGGAGGGAGAGAGGACCCGAGGGAGCTCTATTCTGCAGATGCGCCTGGTTCTCCTCTCGCGAGCTTGGAGTGTTGCTGCGCTTACCATGGAAACACACGCTGAATCACACACTTACCATGGAAACACACCTGAGGCTGCTAGAGTTTACTCTCACCACTTGGACCATCAGTGTTCTCCACTGAACCACCAGAGATTGCCTTGCCTTTACTGAGGGCTTAGTAGGTAATTTTTGGCAGTTGCAGGAGAGGAGTAATTCTCCTCTATAGAAAACACTACTCCCCCATACACACACTACTCCCCCATACACACACACACTACTCCCCCATACACACACACACATACTGCTCCCCCATACACACACACTGCCCCCCATACACACACACACACACACACACACACACTGCCCCTCACACCCTCCCTCACTCTATTCACTAGAGTGAGGGGGTGACTAGTGACAGAGTGAGGGGGTGACAGAGTGAGGGAAGGGGATGACTGGTGACAGAGTGAGGGAGGGGATGACTGTGACAGAGTGAGGGAGGGCGTGACTAGTGACAGAAGGAGGGAGGGAGTAGTGACAGAGGGAGGTGGTGACTAGTGACAGTGAGGGAGGTGGTGACTAGTGACAGTCACCACCTCCCTCACTCTGTCACTAGTCACCCCTTCCTTCCCTCACTGTGCCACTAGTCACCCCTTCCCTCACTCTGCCACTAGTCACCCCTTCCCTCACTCTGTCACTAGTCACCCCCTCACTCTAGTGACAGAGTGAGGGAGTGACAGGTGACAGAGTGAGTGACTAGTGACAGAGTGAGGGAAGGGGTGACTGTCACTAGTCACCCCATCCCTCTGTCACTAGTCACTCCCTCCTAACTCTGTCACTGTGTCACCTGCTCCCTCACTCTGTCACTAGTCACCCCTCCCTCACTCTGTCACTAATCACCCCCTCTGTCCTTAGTGACAGAGTGAGAGAGGGGGTGACTAGTGACAGAGAGAGGGAAGGGGTGACTGTCACTAGTCACCCCATCCCTCTGTCACTAGTCACTCCCTCCTAACTCTGTCACTGTGTCACCTGCTCCCTCACTCTGTCACTAGTCACCCCCTCCCTCACTCTATCACTAATCACCCTCTCTGTCCTTAGTGACAGAGTGAGAGAGGGGGTGACTAGTGACAGAGTGAGGAAGGGGGTGACATAGTGAGGGAGGGGGTGACTAGTGACATAGTGAGAGATGGGGTGACTAGTGACAGAGTGAGGGACGGGGTGACACAGTGACAGAGTGAGGGAGGGAGTGACTAGTGACAGAGAGAGGGATGGGGTGACTAGTGACAGAGTGAGGAAGGGGGTGACTAGGGAGAGAGGGGGTGATTAGTGACAGAGTGAGGGAGGGGGTGACTAGTGACAGAGGGAGGGGTAACACAGTGACCGAGTAAGGGGGTGACTAGTGACAGAGTGAGGGAGCGGGTGACACAGTGACAGAGTTAGGGAGGGAGTAACTAGTGACAGAGAGAGGGATGGGGTGACTAGTGACAGTCACCCCCCCTCACTCTGTCACCAGTCATCCCCTCACTCTGTCACTAGTCACCCCTTCCCTCCCTCACTCTGCCACTAGTCACCCATTCCCTCACTCTGTCACTAGTCTCCCATTCCCTCACCTCACTGTCCCCCACCCTAGTCTCCCCCTCTCCTTCCCTCTGTCACTAGTCACCCACTCCCTCACTCTGTCACCAGTCACCCCCACTCACTGTGTCTCCCCCTCACTCTGCCACCACTCAACCCCTCCCTCACTCTGCCACCAGGTACCCCCTCACTCTGCCACCTGTCACCTTCTCCCTCACACACTCTGTCACCTGTCACATATGCATTCACACAGACACTATATACAAAAAGCACATGTAGTCATCCAGACATGCACAAGTGCATTCACACAGACTCAAATACAAACATGCATTGATACACAGGTCTTCACAATACACACATCCAAAGGAATGCCGTATTATGAATTATATTTAACATTTATTAAAATGCACATATATTTGGCCTTCAAAGGGCCTGGGATCTAATTTTGCCCGGGGGCCCCAAAGGCTCTCAGTCCGCCCCTGCACACACACACTACAACCTTCACAAACACAATGTACCCCCGTACACACACTGCACCCCTCACACAAACACACACATACACTGCACTTCTCACACACACACACCACTGCCCCTATCCCCTACTACAGCCCCTATCCTGGCAGACCCCAAGTAAGTTGTCAAACAAAAATGTATAGTTTCCATAGAAACCTGGCGCCTTGGATTTGTCGAGCCCTGCTTTAAGTCTTTTCACATACTGTATATTACATATTGTGCATGTAATCAGATAAATGACAAATATTTTATGACAATTGTTGTATATTTTTATCGAAAGTAACTTTAGAATCAAAAACTTACATTGAGAGGAAACACACTTATGGAAACAATTGTGCCTCGACCAGGCACTTTGATTTAAATCAGCCAAAGTAGTCACTATCCTGGCCACTAATTTTACATTGCCTGATATAAGAGCAGCTAGTGGTTCATCTCCATATAATATGTGCAAAGTTCTACTGATAATTGATTTAATCTTATTAAATTGTTGATGATACATAGTGGAAATATAAACCAATTCCTTCTTACATCCCACTCCTCTTTTAATTCTTTGCAATATTAAAAACACATTCAATTGCCATTGTCTAAGTTTCATAGATTGATCCAAAAACTGCTCATTACTACTACAATACTACTAATGAGTTTTATAAATTGACCAACAGGGATACTTTTGATCAAATGGAAAGGGTGATGACTGGTAGTTTCTAAAAGGGAATTCACAATCAGTACTTTTTCTATACATATAGGTAGATATAATACAATAACCCATACATTTAATAGTCAAATACAAAAGCTGGATTGATGACTCACTATACTACACAGTGAATCTCAAACCCATTCTGTTAGTATTAACATAAGAGTGTAAACTTTCCAAAACCTGTCTGTCTCCAGTCCACACCAATAACAAACTTAGTGCCCATTGATGTCCCACGTCTCTGAAGGTAGTATGAATCAAGTTGTTCAAGTAAGTATTTAATGGTTATCACTATACATTCAATCAAATTTGCGGAATAATCACTATCTCTGTAGTCTAATGTGTTGCCTGTAAACCCAAATCATGTTAAATAACGGAGTAGAGGGACATAACGTCCATAGTGACAACCAAACGTCTGCATTCAAAAAACTGCTTTAGAAAGCTAAAAAGGTGCATGACAAGAGGGAAAGTATGCATGATGCTGGTCTATAATCTCATGGGCTGTAATTTCTGTCTGGACCTTGGTGCCAATTTTACTGTCTACAAGTACCAAAGTCTCTGAGGGCCTGGATAAATAAATTAATAAATAGGGAAAAACACAAGAGGCTGGAAGGTAGGGAGAAAAACTTACCCACATCCCGTCTCTTTAGTAAGTAAGGTCACCTAGACTGAGTAATAGGGGGTAACCCCAAAAAAATTATAAAATAAAAAATAATTCACAAAAGCTACCTTACTAGAAGATAGCCAATAGGAGAAGGACCCAGTCCAATCTCAACAGTAAGTCTGAAAATAACAAAAAAACAAACTTTATTATAGTCTATTAAAAGCCTGGGAACAGACAAATAAAAGGTATCTAGAATCTCATATGGAGAGAAGTGTAGCATACTAAAAGACTAATGATTAGCCTCATAAGGTAGAGATGCTAACAAAAAGGGCGGTATGCTAAACAATGCACACCTCACCAGATTAGTGGTGAACCCAAGGGAATAACAGCAATAGAGAAATGGGGTGTCATAATGGGCACAAAATATACGGTATACCAAAAAGGGGAAATAATAAAATATAAGGCCCCAGAATACCTAAATCTCTCTAAGCTAACCCTATGTCTCCTATTATAACACCTTCGTGGGTGTTCTAATCTGGTAACTCAACCCAAATATCTGTTGCCCAAGGTAAAAAAGATACTAAATCATCATAAGTGCGAAGTGCTCATAGAGTGCTAAAAATAAAAATAACCCGACGCGCGTTTTGGCGTGACCGCACGCCGTCCTCAGGGGTATCGCAAATGAGACTATCCCAGCGGTATAATATATATTGATAAATACCTTGTCTTTGGAAGTAAAGTGGAATTTTTAGAATGAGCTTCATATATAATGAGCAAAATTTCAAGTTATTGGTTTGAAGACTGTTCTAAAAGAACAGGGAGCCCTGTATGCCAGGGTGCCAGCGTCAAAAGGTAATATACGTCTAAAGGGTTGCTGTAAGCACTTAACTAGTATGAAATACATTTTCAGAGGAAAACATAATTACCAAATGTGAAACAATTCTTCCAATGTTGCCTAGTCAATCCTCCATATCATTATTTGTAGGATCTCATTAATAGAAAGGTAATAATTTCATTAATTGGACAAAGGCAAAAATAGCGACATAAAGTACAACAACAAGAAGAATTCCCCATAGTCCCTTCTTTGCTATTCCTTCCAAATAACCTGCTGATCTAAATGTCCAGTCATATTATCACAATAATGCAAGCCAATCGGAGGTAAAGCAATACTGAGGCAGCATAGTAAATGTCTGTCTACACTCAGGGAAGGTACACTTCTCTATGCAAGTAAGTTCAAGACTTGTGGAATATATCCTAAACACACTCAACATACATTCTACATCTGTCTCTGGGCAAGCTAACACTTACTCTCTCTCTGGCTAACTCTCCCAAAAAAATAATTTAAATGAAAAATTTAGCAAAATACTTCAATAGTTCAGCTTCCATAGTTCAGCATGGTTCTTCAGGAAAAAAAAAGTATTTCAAGGAATATAAGGAATTCATTTTGGACACCATAAATTGTTTCATAAGAATGGCTAATAGTAGCAAGCAAGAGTAACAAGGCAATGTCTGCTTCCACATAGTTCTTTTTAGTACTTCCTGTTAGTTGCTGGATTTTCACCACAATGCTCTGTGCAACACTCCAATTGTTAAAGGGGTTATTCGATGGCATTAGACAGCCCTTTCCCAAAACTTGCATGCAAAGTTTATTTTCTCATAAGTAAGCATCTTCCATTTCTTTGGTCTGCATGGGTTGTGGTCAAACAGATGCAATTGCAAAATAGTTAGTGTAGAGTCAGCCAGAGGAGAGAGATACGTGAGCAGGTCCCAAGAATCTGATGGCACAAGCATTCCAGGGCGTTCTCTACAATCATATTATTATTATTATTATTGCCACATGGATCTATACGAAATGAACAATTCCTAACAGGATACATTTATCATTGTCAGTTAATTAATTACCTAGACTAAAAGTCAAATCAAAACTTAAAGTTAAACCCCTAACTGGTGTAACATGTACCTCTCTCAGATTTGCAGATCACTTTTGTATTGATTAGAGAAGCATTCACTTTACATAAACTTTTGATTGGACAGTATGACTACTATAACGCTTTATCTAGCAAGTGACTAACAGACTAATTCTGTACAGAATTTTAGCATATACTTATGGGGATAATTCCCAATAAAACTTGGTTCCTAAACTTAAACCACGATTTAATAATCCCTATTAATTAAATAATCTTGGATTAACTTCTAAATTATAGCTTTTCAAAAACACACATATATCAAATGTTAAAAACATAAAAATATCTAAATATAAAAAAAGACAACATTGTCTGCACCATTAAACCTCATAAAAATCCAGAAATTCCTCAACAATTGATTAATCTCTTACTTCAAACCCCTAATTGTTACTAATAATAACTAGAGTTAGGGCAAAATTACCTAAACAACACCCTCTT